TATTTTTCATGACCCCATTCGACACTCTCTTTCCTCGATGAATCCAGCTTGCTTGGGTCTCATTATGATTTGCTGCACTAGTTCTTCCCTTTAGATTTGTCTATTTGGGATTGCATGGAAATTAGAATACTTTGTTCTTTGAAACCTAGGTTATATTAGTTGTTTTATGGCAAATTTCAGAACGTTGATTCAATATCTGAGGATGTTTCAAAGATGAATCTTAAGAGCTCTAATTTTAATTTGGGATCTACTGCAGCATCCAGATTCTAATGGCTTTAATTCAAGCTTAGGTGGAGTGAACGCAGATGTGATACGTGTGAATCCTGGATTATTGCCTGAGAATGATGGATTTACTGATTCGGATGGTTGGGCCTTCGTGAAAGCAGAATCAGACTTGCAAGTAAGTTGGAGATGCTAGTTAAATGTGTGATTCTATAAAATCAATTGATTCTGTTCTGTCTGTCCGTCAATTAAATTTTGTAACCTGGATTTGTTAACATCATGACTAAATGTAACACCATAATAGGAGAAGCAAAAATGTCAGTGTATCTGAATCCATATAAAAAAATCTTGTTTCTGCAAACACTATTGTTGCTGCTCCTCATTAAAGTAGTTGACTGGTCAGCTATCAAATAATAGATGTTAGTATAACAAGGTATTAATTGTTTTTGCTATTTGATTTCCTGCCTTTATTTTTTACTATCGTGCATTCCGATCAAGCTACAAGAAAGATAAGTTTTTTCATTTCTGACTATAATTGTCACTCAATTTGTTCAGGGTACCTTGGGGAAAATGGAAAATGGCCCAAAATTGCAATCTACTGTATTTCATTCAAGTCTGAATATTTCCAACTTGGATGGTGGTGGTGGTGTAAGTCCAAATCTGTTTGCTACTGATTGGGATGCAAAAGAAGAGATTTCAGATACAAAACAGTTAAACCCAACTATAATTACTGAAACCGAGGATGAGGGTGAGGATGACTGGGAATTCAAGGTTGCAGAATCAGAATCAACGCCCATTGATTTGAGTAGTAAGGTAAAAGGAAAGCTTTAGTTGAATTTTTTTTTTCTTGTTTAACATACTACATCTGTTTTATCTACCTGAATTGTAAAGCAGAAAACTATTAACTGATTCCAGTTTAACTTTTGGTCTCCTCAATGAGCTTTATATCTCTGGACTTTGTTTCGTCTATTTCACCCTGAAATCGGAAATCTTTTGTTGTATATTTGGTTTCATGTTCAGACTAGGAGGAAAGAGATTAATATTTGAAGTGTCTTTGATATTTTGACTTCATAAGATCTATTCTTTCTGGTGACACTTGTTCCCTTTTGATCATAGACTATTGAAATAAGGGGTAGCGACAATAACGGAGCCTTGCCTCTGTCACTTTTTGGTGATGAAGAAACAGAGCCCAATGATCCCGTTTTTTATGAAGTCACTTCGGTTCAGATTTCTGCTCCAGAAACAAGAGAGGACAATAGGGGTCTTAGTTCCAGTCTCTCTATTAATGATCTGGTATCAAGTTTGTACAATGAAGTTGAGCAAACGGCTACTGCCAGTCACTTACAGAATCAGGATGAAAATGGATGGTGCCCCACAGAAATTGCATTTGCTTCCAATTCATCAAATGATGCTGCAATTCTGGACGACGATTATTCCTGGGAGTTCAAAGATGCCTCTGCAGTACCCATGGATGAGGAGCAACAATCTTTCCCCAAAGATTCTACAATTGAGGCCAGTAACATAGAGCATTCTGATTGGATAGACTTATTTACCAAACTGATGGAAGAATTATGTCTTGTTGCATTCAAACATGTTGAAAATATGAAGGTTGGTGGACTTGCTAAATGTATCCAAACACCCTCGCCTCTAAGAAATCAAACTCTTCTCTTTTGAAGGATTACTTACAATGGGTTTGAATTTTTCTTAGCAAGCTCGTACTGCTGCAGCTCTTGCTGGTGAGGATGCTGATGTAAGCCACCTGGATAAGGAAATACAGGTTGGTGGCATCTCTAGTTCAGTGATAGATTAAAGAGCAACGAATTGATGAGAGATTGCTGTGATTTGGGAGCATTTGTTGTTATCCTTTTCTTCCTTCTATGTTGCTCTTTTACCTTTTTATTCAAGTCCTGCATGGGGTGGACATGGCAATACAATTCGAAAGTAACTTTTGTATTCTCTATGCTATTGTAGGATATGCATAATGGACTGCGTGAATGCAGCCCTATTGCTGAAGTTCATTCAGGAGATCAGTTGCCATGTGAAATTCGAACAAGTGAATTGTTTGAAATGTTGCAGCAACCAAAGTTTCAAGTCATTGAGTCAGAATATCAGTTATCAGAAAAAGTGTCGCAGGTGCGTCACAATACTAACTCTCAATCTTTAAGAGGACAGTTAATGTTAGATTTAGGATATCAGCATACTTATCCTTGGCGAAGAATAAATTTGATATCACACAGAAACAATATGGTATAGCTCGACGTGGTTATGAAGCAAGCGGCAGTCCCTTTCTTTTGTTTCTAGAAGGTTGAAGGTCTCTTTTACCAGCTAAAGTTTGGTTAGATTGTGTTTGACTGGTCTAAACTATTATTTCAATCTTCTGATAGGTTCATAACGACTCAAAATCTACACTCCTACTTCTCAAGAAGGCGGTTTCATTGTTAAAGATTTTGACGTTAGTATCCAGGCAGGAACAAACGAGCTACATTTGCACATGGTCTAAGATGCTCTGTCAATGTGCTGAAGAGCTGAAACACGGTTCAATGATTTGGAGCCACTTGCTGCAAGAAAACATCCAAGATCAAGTTCTTACAAGCTTTGAAGGTATAATAACAATCATCTTGTATGGAACTCAATTCAATGATTGTTGCAGAGTACTCAAAATTCTTTTCTCTAATACAGGAAAAAGATATTTCCTTGCTCTTGGGGAAATTTACAGAGTTTTTGAAATTCTTCGATGCGCTGCCAGGCTTTATAAGCCATGGATATTGCTGGAACAGACCGACTCCGTATCCTTCAACACCATGATGAGCGAGTGTTCTGCTCTATGGTCAAGCTCGGGACTGGAAGAAGCTCTCTTAAGCATTTCTGATGGTTCTGTCAAGGCATTACTGGAATCCATTCAGCATCTTCGTAATCTCGAGGATGATGCACTTTACGAGATTGTTTTCTCCAGACAAGGCTACACCTGTCAACTCTCAGGTCTTAATCCAGCAGTAGTACCGGGTAAGCACCGACTTCGTGCATATTCTAGGATTAAGCTACTAAAGATTAAAGTTGGAGACTTCAATCATTTGAGTTTCCAAGCTGAGATTGCTAATTTGTTCTTACAAGTGTTTGCCACAGTCTGTTTAACCATCTTGTTGTCTTTGAACAGGGATGGAAACCGTTGTCTGGAATGGGAGCCATTACTTGGTCAAGCTTGCAAACCTATGGGCTAATTTGATTAGTTGCAATGCGCCAAATCTTGCTCGCTTGCACGTTGGATGATGATGAAAGATGCAGCGGTTCAGCTGAGCACTCATGGAGATAATTGTTCTACTGTCTGTTTAGCAGAGACCAACTACTGAAAGCAGTCATATATGTATGCAGCACCGTGGGTGAGGGGCTCGAGCCAAAGTTGCGCCCCTGCCAGCTGCCACAATGATGGTTTGTCAGGGTAGTGAAAGAATTGACACAGTATTCTCAATCCAAACTGGCCTGTGTGGCTTATCGCCATATGGATCCTGGTTTGACAAAAGACGGGCAAGATATCTCTCAAGCCTCCCATTCATCATTCTTCTCCCCTTTGAAGTGTTGTCCATTTTTTTGGCATAGAGAGCAAGCTGTAACATAGAAGCTTTTGGGGTTCATGGCCCCTAATTTGCGTATACAGTTTATACACTAGACGTTTGGGGGTGGGTGGATTGCCCTTGGAATTTAAGGGGGTGTTCCTTTTCCTATTTCCATGTTGTATTTTGACAAATGGCCTGTAATCTTTGGGATAAAAATATATCGATATCGTTGCTGCTGGAATGAAGGGCCAGTTACAAATTTGAATCCTCCCGACTATTCTCTCTGCTGGAATTTTTCCTAGAAACCAAACTTGGTGGTTCCCGCGCTGTTGATTACACCCCCTGATATGGGTTGATTTTTTTTTTTTATCGATTTGATGCTGGTGCACGTTCGACATGGAAGTATGTCCTGTCGGAATTTTAGTAATCTAGCATGGAAGCTACATGGTCAAGAAGTTCACTGCTGAGATTGGCCCTTGTCATAATAAAGATGTCTTGAAAAGTCGGTTTATATATCTGGGGAAGCAATTCAATGGTATGAAACTACAACTTGATCAGAGTGGTTTTTCCTGGGACGAAATTCAAGAAGGGATAAGAGCTGAGGACTGTCTGTGGAATGCTTGTCTTCAGGTGCCCATTTTGGCTATTTAGATTTTCTGACAAAATAAACAGTTATCTACCGGAGCAATCTTATACACCATTTGACTTGGTGCAGCAATACTCAGGTGCACAATCATACTGCTCTAAGGCTTTGCCAAACATCAATGACTTGTTCTTGATATTTGGTGTTAACACCTAAAATTAATTTGGCCGAAATTAAATGCCGCATTAATTAGTCTCGGCATTTAAGTCGATACCGCGGGTAAAAAAAAACGGTGTCGTTGGGAGTCGAGCGGTGTCGCAGAGAACTAAAACGGTACCGCAAGGAAGCTCAGCGGTACCGCGGTACTGCAAACGACACCGCTTACCGAAAATCAAAAGGGCCGCACGTGGGTATTGGAGAAGGAGTTTTCTCTAATTAATTATTATTTTTATTCGGAAGAAGCGGCACCGAGGAAAGCTAAAACGGTGCCGCGGAATTAAAAACAACACCGTGAGGAAGCCCAACGGCACCGCTATACAAGCAAACAACAGTGTTTAATAAACAACAATGTCGCAAAAGGAAAAACAAACGGAGCCGTTTTGGCGCTAACGATGTCGTTGGTCGTGGACTAGTGATGGCCAGATTAGTTAATTAATATTTTAATGACTTTTTAGCACGGTGCCGTTAGTTGAAAACGATGCCGCGAGCGGGCCAAACGATGCCGCAGTTGTTAAAACGACAGCGTTAAATTTAAAGCGGCATCGCAAAGTTCAACAGCGCAGAAATAGAAAACGATGTTGTTTAATTAAGAACGGCGCCGCGGAGTGAGAGTTTGACAGCGTGCCAACAATGATGGCCAGTTTAATTAATTAATATTTTAAGGATCAGGTAAGACGGTGTCGCTTTAGCCGAAAACGACATCGTGGGAGGTCGACACCGTCGTGGTACTGAAACGATGTTGTTTAATTAAAAACAACGTCGCAGAGTTCAGCAATGGTGGATTTTGGCTCAGTGTCGTTTTGGGCCAAGTTGCCACGTGCTCAAGCGGTTTCGGGAGTTACGCAATAAGGAGGAAGTTACCTGCACGGTTGACAGGAGTGAAGACGTGGGAGACAAAGGCGCGAAGGCGGTTACTACGACGAGGAGAAGCGCGAAGTATAAAGATTGGGAAGAGAGAGAAGTTCAGGACGGGAAAATCAAATCACAAACTGCACCTACGCAGATTTATCTTTTTCTCTCTGGTTCGTAGAACTTCTCTGTCAAAGACCTCCTTTGCAGAGTCGTAGTAGTCGTAGTCGTAGTTGCGGAGCTCTCCAGAGGAATCTCCATAGGAGTAGAGGTAACGTAACTTAGAACACTCCCGGTTTGGTTTCTCGTTTCTCGTTGGACACCCTCGTTCGAACGTAGTTTGGAGAGGTGGTGAACCGAGTAACGGTTGTTTGATTAGAAGTCAAAGGTGTATTGATCGAATCAACATCGCCGACACCGGCGATGGATATTTGACAGTCATCTTGGTTTCTGTTTAATCGATCAAATCAACGGCGCCGACATTCGGCGGCGGATATTTGACAATTTTTGCTGACTTTGGGTTTTTGTTTCCTTGAAATCAGAGCGCATTGAACGCGCGAGTTTCGCCAACGAAACATTTGGAGATCCAATCCATTGTAGATGGAGTGGTAATTCAAATGACTCAATGACTGCCATGACTATATCGAAGCTGGTTCTATGCCCACCCCTAGATGAAACTTTGTCTTGCTGAAAGGAACTTTTATAGTACCTGTTTGTTGGAATTTTAATTCAGGATTTCCTTTTTTGTCTACTTACAGGACCATCCATCTGCAATAAAATACAACTACAGAACGCTGCCAAGTTATAATGCTTGTTTTATGCTCATGATACCCTAGACACTGAGATCAATGGTGGCTCTGAAGATCCAGTATATGCGATGGGGAACTTAAGATCTCTGATCTGAGAAAGAGGAGAAGAATATCTGCAGCAACATTACCAGAGTTGCGCAACAAGTCCCACAGCGCCATGGGGAAGACCGGAAGAGGAGAGGACGACGCAAAACAGCCACTTCGATCGAGGCAATTGTTGATGCTCTGCAAGAAAATATTAGGGATGAACAGTGACATGTTTTTGGATGCATGTAGAGTGTTGAAAGATCAGGAGAAGAAAGCTGAGGACTTTGTTGCAATGCAGGTTGACGAAAGAAAGAATTGGTTGTTCAGAAAGCTTGGTGTATATAGAACATTTCGGGATATTCCCTAAATACACGTAAAACTAAAACAAATTTCTAAACTACCACAATTATAAAAAAAAATTCAAAATACGTAAGTTTGGAGTGGTTCGAGTTTGAAGAATTCGAACTACTAACCGGTTCGAGTGTAGGAGACTCGATCTAGTCCTAGATCGATGATATAAGCCTCGAACTCCTTTGAAATTTACAACCACCTTAACTTTGTGCTCAGTTATCCGATCGTAGCAAACTTTTTTTTTTCATTTCGTTTACTTTTCGAGGACTACAACTTTTATAATAGAAATATTTTCAGAATATATGTGAAAACGTGAAAATTAAAGTTAAAGTTACTCCCAAAACTCCTTATATTAAAATTATTCCTATTTTGAAAATTTATTTCTAGTAAATGTTGTAGTACTCAAAATATTATGCAAAATAAAAAAAAAACATTGCAACGTTTGGATTACAGAGCACAAAGTTATGATCCTCTAAAGTTTGGCAAAATCGAAAAATTTCTCGTTTAGGGGTAATAAATGACATTTTCTCGGGGCGAAGGCACGGGAAATTTTTTTTATATATAGGAAATTTCTGCCAAAAGAGCAATATTTTTCCAAACGAGAAATTTTGTGGATGGCTATCTTCCTAGAAAACCTCATTTGCTACCCATAAACGAGCAAATTTTCGAATTTGTCAAACTTTGGAGAATCATAACTTTGTGCTCCACAATCCGAACATCGCAAAGTTTTTTTTTTTATTTTGCATAATTTTTTTAGTACTACAACATTTACTAGGAATAAATTTTCAAAATAAGAATAATTTTCAATATAAGGGGTTTTGGGAGTAACTTTAACTTTAATTTTCACATTCTCACATATATTCTGAAAACATTTCTATTATAAAAGTTGTAGTCCTCGAAAAGTTATGCGAAGTGAAAATTTTTTTTTGCTACAATCGGATAACCGAGCACAAAGTTAAGATGGTTGGATGGTTCGAGGCTTATATATATCATCGATCTACGACTAGATCAAGTCTCCTACACTCGAACCGGTTAGTAGTTCTAGTTCCTCAAACTCAAACCACTCCAAACTTAGGTATTTTGGGAAATTCTTTTATAAGTGTGGTAGTTTAAAAATTTGTTTTAGTTTTATGTGTATTTAGGAAATTATCCGAACATTTCAATGTAACTGAAACACCTTTCTTGAAGACCATGGCTTCCTTTTGATTGTTGCTAGATTGGACTGAAGTATTAATTTGGTCCAGTCCGAATCAACCCAAATACCGTTCCAATCCATCTCAATCCCCACGTCAGATCTCGAATCGCTGCCTTCGACCGCAGCGACCCATTTTGCTGATAATTCTGCAGCTAGAACTCTACCTTAACCAGGAAAGTGCCAAATGATTCAACAAAGCAAAAAGAATCGATACTCTGGCTAGCTGTGCTGCGAATGCCAGAACGCGTCAACCGACAAATACTTTCTTACTGCTGCTACCAAAGCTGCTTCCTTTACTATCTTGGGTCCCATTTCTCACAATCACTAAAAGCCGAAAGAACGCCAAAGCATCATCTTTGAAATTGAATCCCCTGAAATGGCATGGCCTTCCTCTCTCTCACTCTCCCGCCATCTCCCCCAATTCTCAACTCCATCGCAGCAATCGCACTAACCCTCTTCACCATTCTCCTTGTCGCACTAAATCCTCAATCCCCTTCGAACCCATCTCCCCAAATCCACCAAAGATCCCTCCTCTCCCAAACTCATGACTCCCAAATCCCCCCAATTTCTTGCTCCGCTCTTCCCCCATCAAACGGCCTCATCAACTACCTCGCGATCCACTTCTGCCTCTTCAATGGCGAATCCACCTTCTCCGTCTCAATTCTCTCCCTCTTCATCCTCCTCCAATTCTACATTCTCATCAAAACCGCCCAATCCCACTTCTCAATCGTCACCACCAAGCTCGCGGGCCACCTCAACCTCTCCCCGAGCATGGGCGGGGTCACTCTCTTGGCTCTCGGCAATGGAGCTCCCGACGTGTTCGCCTCTCTCGCGGCTGTGAGGTCGGGGCAGTACAGGACGGGCTTCGGGGCGATACTGTCGGCTGGAACTTTTGTTTCGGCGTTTGTCGTTGGGTTCGTGGCGATCTATGCCGCACCGTTTAGTGTGGATCCGGGCTCGTTTGTGAGAGATGTAGGGTTCTATCTGGTTGCGGCTATGTCGCTGTTCTATGTGTATTTGAGTGGCGAGATCAGTTTCTGGCAGGCTGCTGGGTTCGTTGGGTTTTATCTCTTCTTTGTTGGGGTTGTGTTTTGGATGGATTTGGGGATGAATAAGGGTAAGCGCGGGGGAAGAGGTAGAGGAGGAGATGGCGGGAACAGAGATTTGGAGGAGTTGGTGGATTTTGAGAGTGGTGAAAAGGCAGTTGGAACTGGTGGAAGCTTGAAGGAGGATGGGGCTGGATTTCTTGAAAAGGGTTTCGGAAAGGTAACTGGTTTTGGCTTTTGTGGGTGCAAACTCTTGGTGTTCGTTGAAATTTTACTACTGTTGAATTTTGCTTTGCTTGTTTCATGAATAAGAGCCTTGCATGTTTATATTTTATTATTGAATGCTGGGTTGTGTTGATCCAACATTGCATTTTGGTCATCTGTATTTTCTTGTGCCATGTAGCTTTATCAGTATAAGCGGTTACCAAGAACCAAGCTTATAGAATTTGGACCTCATTGTTGCAAAAGTTGAAGTGTTGAACCTAAGTCTTCATGTTGTATAATTGCAGATTTTCAGAATCTTATGAACTTTTCTATTCAGAGTTTGAACTGTTTAGGCACCTTCTAAATGTAACAGTTGCCCTTTTCTTTCATATGCAGATCTCAAAACTTTGGGACATCCCTGTCACATTACTTCTGAACCTCACCATCCCTCAACCAGCACCATCAAAATGGAACAGATTCCACCAATCAGCCAACATAATGCTCTGCCCACTCTCCCTTCTCTACTCTTGCAGCTCAATCACACCCTTAAACCACCCCATCTCTTTCCTCCTCCCAACAATCCACTTCCCACTCTGGTTCATAACCCTCCTAGCAACCTCCTCCCTCGCCTTACTCCACTTCATCCTGCAAAACCAACCCCCGAAAACCGAGCAACTCCCTGTCATCCTCTTATCATTCCTAATGAGCGTGTTCTGGATATCCACCACCGCTGCAGAGCTCTTAAACTGTTTGGCTGCACTCGGTACCATCCTCGAGGTCGCCCCATCCTTGCTTGGGCTGACCGTGCTCGCCTGGGGGAACTCAGTTGGCGACCTTGTCGCTGATGTGGCAGTGGCCAGAGCTGGACAACCGGCGATGGCGATGGCCGGTTGCTTCGCGGGGCCCATGTTCAATATGCTGGTGGGGCTTGGTTCGGCTTTGGTTGTGCAGACGGGTGAGATGTATCCGGAGGCTTATCAGCTCAAGTTTCACATGGGTATTGTGGTGGCGTTTGGGTTCCTGGTGATGAGCCTGATGGGTTCTTTGCTCGTTGTCACTTGGTCGAGGTTTCGGGTTCCAAGGTTCTGGGGGTTCTGCCTCGTTGGGCTTTACGCAGTTTTCGTGGTCGTTAGCTTGCTTATTGCCACATTCGTGATTGGTTGAATCCTGGCATATTAAGAACCTTTTTCCAGTTCAAGCTTTTCTTAGGTAGATTAGAAAGGTTTTGATAGAACTCTATTACTAGGGTTCTATCGATTGCAATGGTTGATTGGGAATTTAGGGATTTGAGGATAGAATTGGGGAAGAACAGAATAGGGAATTAGAAGATAGGAATAGGGATTGAGATTGGGAATTAGAGGAAGAAGAAGAATAGAAGGTAGAATCGGCCGAAGCCTTAGAGGGCTAGAGAACGAGAAATTAGGAGACAGGGGATTAGGGTTTTGAGAGAGATATTTTCTGAATAATTGTTCTTGCTTTATTGATAATGAAACCCAGATTACATATTTATAGGAAAACCTAATAATAAGCCTAATTCTACTAAAAGACTACTATCCTTATTTGTAAATATCCTAATAATAATAATAATGATAATTATGATAGAATCACGAAAACGTGTTTCTATCATCTCCTCCCCCTTGAGACCAACCTTGCCCTCAAGGTTGATCAACTTGACCCACGCTTCTCTTTCTTCTCGCACAATTCGCGGTCGACTCCTCCATTTCTTACGCTTCCTTTTCTTCCAATTGAGCTCCACTACTTGAGCGAATCCCACACCAGTCCCCTTGACTCCCATTGCTTCTTCTCTACCCACGTAGCTCGTGTCGCAATCCTGGCCAAATGACCCTTTATCCTCCTCAAACTCTACAAAATAAGAACCGTAGAGTTCTTCTTCTTGGTGCCCATCATCTAAACCCATGAACCCATCTTTCTTCTCTTCTAAGCCCATACCAAAATAAAGAGATTCAACTAAACAACCCAGTTTAAGCCCAATTGAAGTCTGCAAACGCGGCCCCACTTCCTCAAATTTGGACCATGGCATCTGGTCCATTTCAAGCTTCAGCCCAGTCTCTTGCTCGGCCCATTTCACTCTAAATCTCTGTCTGCTCAATCGATCTGTCGGGCCCAGACTGAGTCTATTAGTCTCCATCTCCACAACTGGGTCCGGCCCAATACCATAAAGAAGGCAGTCGGTCAGACCGCCTTTGCGCGACCCAGGACCCGGTCGAACGCACTTGCGATCCGTCATTTCCTTCTCGGGTCGGTCCACGCTTCGTGGCCTATTTGGACTTTGGGCCCTGTCATCCACGCGGCCCAAACAATTGCCAAGGGTTGGCCACCTAGGCTCGGCGAGAGGATGGAAGCCGCCGCCAACTTCCTCTTTTGCCCGCGACGTTGTTGTCATTTTGACCCTCACCGCCGATCTGTTACCCCAACGGCCCGGCTCCGAGACAACGCCACCTTCCTTCTCCAGCAGCGTTCTCTCCGGCGACTCCTCTCCCGGCGGCGACCCTACCAGCAAAACCACATGGAGAGTCGCGTGCGTCCGGCCGCGTCTCCGACTCTGCTTCTTCTTCGGAAACCGGTCTCGGTTGGTGAAACACCAACTTCTCGTCGTCCTCCTCCTCCGTCGACGAGTCTTCCCTCGGCTCCGCCCTCAGCTTCGTCTCCTTCTCCGTTGATTTCGCCTTCGAACGACAAACACCCCGACGACCCTTCTCCGATTCGTGTCGTCGCTTGACATTGGCGTTGATCTTCATCCTTTCGTCGAACGATACCACGCCTGGGACTGTCGGCGCCCCCGACAAGATCCGCGTTGCCGACAGAGGAATACGACGACGTGGGTCTACTTCCCACTCCTGGGACTGTCGTTGATCGACACCGACATCATCCTCCACCTTCTTCTTGCCGGCCGTTCCGACGAGGGAAGTCGATGATTGTAGCGACCCCTCCACGTTTTGTGGCGCCGACGATTGTTCCCAGCGATTAGACGACGAGCCAGATCCCGCCACTTTCTTGGGCCCGGTCGATGTGAATGGAGCAACTGAGGAGACTGGTGGCGCTGGCAAGATCTGCGACACCGCCGGTCTAATTCGGCAGCTCTCCGCCAACTTCTTTCCTGGCGGCGAACAGACCGCCCGACGGCGGCTAGGATGCGCGCTCGCTTTCGCCGTCGCTCTCCACCCCATCCGCGGCGACGAACCCTCCTCCCAGCGAACGCGTGACATACCTGGTTGCTGTCTGACTCCCCGTCGCACCTTACGGATCGGAGCCTCAACAGCTCTCTCGACCAGAGCTATCGCCCCGGTCTCCTTTTCCGTCTTCCCTTTCGTCGTCTTCCCATAGGAAGGAGGGACTGAGCACGCCAGTCGCATGATTCGGGACCCCGGTGAATCCTTCTTTCGATCACCCAACACGGACTCCTCTTCCTTTCCGCGCGACGACTACTTGCAAGATCGTTGTGCTGTTTGTGTGATTGGTGATGCAGGTGAGACCACCCTGCGGCCCATCGCCTTCTTCTTCCGCTGCAAGTCTTCCACCGTTTCCTTTTTTTTAAACTTCCAGCCGTCGATTTGAGGGATCAGTGGAATTTGAACCGATCTGGATGCAGCCTGGACTTGGTCATCGACAACGAGTGATTTTTGCGCCGTCCGGCCCTTATCTTCGTCGTGCTTGGGCGGCGGTGAAGATAGTTTGATGGTAGCAGTGTCGTTGGTGTGGCGATTAATCGATGATGGCGTTGCACACCTCTGGGCAGCTCGGTACCGTCGATCAAGAGCTTGATGTAGCAGCTCCTGCAATTGAAACCATTCATGATCAAAGAGCTTGGATGAGCTCATTCTGGCTTAGGATTAAGATGGAGTCGTCCCCGGTTGAGAGTTGTGAAGAAATCGTTCTCAAAACGGGGCTCTGATACCAAATGATAGAACTCTATTACTAGGGTTCTATCGATTGCAATGGTTGATTGGGAATTTAGGGATTTGAGGATAGAATTGGGGAAGAACAGAATAGGGAATTAGAAGATAGGAATAGGGATTGAGATTGGGAATTAGAGGAAGAAGAAGAATAGAAGGTAGAATCGGCCGAAGCCTTAGAGGGCTAGAGAACGAGAAATTAGGAGACAGGGGATTAGGGTTTTGAGAGAGATATTTTCTGAATAATTGTTCTTGCTTTATTGATAATGAAACTCAGATTACATATTTATAGGAAAACCTAATAATAAGCCTAATTCTACTAAAAGACTACTATCCTTATTTGTAAATATCCTAATAATAATAATAATGATAATTATGATAGAATCACGAAAACGTGTTTCTATCAGGTTTACACTTTGTCTGTTTAGTGTATAGTTATACAATTTTTCATGTAATAAGCAGGCTTTTGGAGCAACTCATTGCTTTGTTGACCTGAAATTCACCATGCGTTGCTCTACTTGTTTGTTCCTCCACATTTGTTCTCATATTGGCTCTTCCGACAATCGGCCATGGCCATGGCGTCCACAAGTTGTTCCTCTAACCTCTCTCTTCCAGTGATCCGTCCTTTCTATTATGGATTAAGGATTTTGCATGAGGAATGACAGATTGAGAGTTTTGGATGAGGACGCCAATGACTGGCAACGACTAATGAGGAAAGCGATTTATGGTCTTGCGTTCTTCACTTCTTCTTCTCAAACCCATAAATCAAATTTGTCTGCGCTTTTTGGGACAAACCCAGAAGCCACAAACATAAGTGAGGGAAAGAACTTGAATATGTTTGCCTCCTCGTTTCAGTTCATTAAGCTTTCTTCTTGCTTCTCTGTGGCATTAAAAGCTGGGAGTAGGATTGTAGTGCCATTGTCTCTGTTGTCTCGACGATTCTAGCATCATAAGAGGATAAGGGAGGAAGAAGGTAAAAAAAAATCACAAAATACACATGTTTTAAAAAGAAAATTCCCAGAATACACACGTTTTATGAAAAATTCTCAATCTATACATGTTTGGAAATTACCAGACTAAAGCGGTGAATGAATCACCGCGGTTGACGGCCGCGGTGAAGGCTTCACTGCGTTTGTCGGCCGCAGTTAAGGTCTGACCTAAGACTGAAACTTCAAACTAGCGTAACTTTGCGCTCGATTATACCATCATAGCGGAAAAAAAAAAAATTATTCCGCATAACCTTACAAGATTTTTCAATCTTCAACCCGCCTTCATCACAAAAAAATGTTGTTTGCTACCTCGAACGAGCAATTTTTCGACTTTGCCAAACTTTGGAAGGCCATAACTTTGTGCTCCTCTATCCGAAAGTCTTTAAAAAAAAATTTATTGCGCTTAACTTTATAAGAACTACAACTTTTAATAGGAAAGAATTTTCAGAAAAAGAAATATTTTTGGGTATACGGGATTTTGGGAATAACTTTCCCTTTACTTTTCACAAATTCACATACATTCCAAAATTATGGTTATGATCAAAGTTGTATTCCTTAAAAATATATGCAAAATAAAAAACAAGTTTCACGATATTCGGATTGCGGAACACAAATTTATGATCTTCCAAAGTTTGTCGAAATCACAAAATTGCTCGTTCGGGGTAGCAAAAGACATTTTTTAGGATGAAGGAGGGATGCAGATTGAAAGATCTTGAAAAGTTATGCAGAATCAAAAAGAAATTCGCTACGATCAGTTAATTGAGCGTAAAATTACGTTAGTTTGAAGTTTCTGCTTTAGGTCAGGCATTCACCGTGGCCGTCAACTACAGTGATGAATGTCGCGGCCTTCAACCGCGCTTATGCATTCACTGCTTTATCCTGCCGCGGTGATGTCCAAACATGTGTAGATTGAAATTTTTTCATAAAGCATATATATTTTGGAAATTTTTAAAAAAAATGTGTGTATTCTATGAAAAACTCCAAGAAGTTCTGATGTAGAAGTACTGTGTTAGGGATTTTTTTGGGTCTGTCGCCTTTTCAAATTTGTCAATAAAAAGTAATTTGGTTTCTATCACTGTTGAATAATTTCAAGTCCATTATCTAACAAGTAATTTGCCTATGCATAAATTATCTGAGTTCTTGAATGAGCTATTTGGAACCATATCCCTCATTTATACAATTCTTGATCCAAACACCCCAAAAATGTTAGTTCAATATTAGCGCAAAATCAATATTTTTAGATCACAGGAAAATGCAGTTACCATATAAAATTAAAATTAATGATACATTTGAATGTTGGACATTTCTCTTGCAACGTTTTTTCGTGTTATATTTGTCATTCCGAAGATATTTCACTATATTGCCAGAGTGGTGAAAGATTTGATCATGAGTAATTATTTTGCCTATAATTTAAGTAGGCTAACCGGCCAAGAATATGATGATCAGAAGTCAGAATAAGAACAGCCGAATTGGCACCGCCAGCGCAACATATGCACACCCACATAGAATAATTGAGGGCAACCTCGTCATCCAAAAGAGAAAATTAGAAACTTCAATGATGTAAAATTGTGAACTAAAAAAAAAAGTCGGGGAATCTAGCTTTCCTTCCTTGTTCCTTCCTCCCACCAGCAGCAGACTTCCAGATCCAAGCTTTTCCTTTTTAGATTAGATTACACCTCTCTGCGAGAGGAACACGGGCTTTTGTTTTGTTTGTTTGCACCCTCTGTTCACCTCATTACCAGAAAGTTCTTAATTTTTGTCTCCCGCCTGTTTGGGTTATCCGATTCCTTCATCATCATCATCATCATCAATCAAAACCGCAGAAGTCAGATCTTTTTCACTGGCTGACAGAAAGGAAATTCCCAGATACCTCAAAAGAAGCTGGCTCCCCAAACCCATCAATATAAATACTAAATACCCTTTTCTTTGGAGATCTGCTGTTGTCTGTTTCTTGTAATCAAAGGTAAGGTTGGCCTAGTTTATCTAACTTGAGTGTCTATTTTGTTCATGATTCTGGGTTTTCTTTCAAGATGGAAACTTTGTTTTCCTTGATTTGTATAGATGATCCTTACTCTGCTACTACATGCACCTAAAGGGTTGTGTTTGGATCCAATTGATTATCTAATCTTGGTCATGATCCGATTTCATTTACTTGCAGTTTCGATTAGATTGAAGTGGTAGATAGGACTCTGTATCAGACTGATATGTTAGGGGGTAACAGGAGTTGTCAGTTACTGTTTAATCTGTTGCCAGTCTTAGAAGTAGTAAGTAGTAACACTCAACTCTCACTGTTAACCTTGTTTGGGAAGGAAATTCTCTCCTTTAGTGGTATTTTTGCTAACTTCTAGATTTTAATAGCTTTGTTGTAATTGCTGTGAACCTCTGATGTTAGAAGTAGAATTGGAAGCAGGATCACCGCTCTCATGGGCTGTTGAATCTGCTTTTTGAAATCAACACATGAAAGCGGTGTGCATGATTGATAGCTTCCCTTCTTGCTTGCTTTCTTAGGTCTATGAGTTCAGTTAGTCAAGATTCAAGTGGTTCTAAAAGCTGAAGGAGCTGCGGATGGTAACTGTAGATGTTCCACTTTGTAGGATTTCGCCTTAATGGTTTGTAAATGATATCCTTAATTTACTGTTCGATTGTTGTTTGAATTGTCGTCTCACTTAATACTGGAAACGGATGATTGTCTTTTTCTTTGCTCTGTGAATATTTATACCTATGATCATGTGTAGAGCTGATCTAATCGGATGTTCTGGTTGCTAATGTTATGTTTGTGGTACAACGGGTAGACCTTGTTCTTCACCAGTTTGTGGTCTGATCAGAGAAGTAAATGGTCTGGTCCGGGATAGAACGGATAAAAATTCATAGGGAAATTGAAGACCAGAATTTGATTGAAAGCATGCTTGGTCCGCTTTAGTTCAGTCCTATCTTGATTCGTTCCACTTTTTTTCTTTACTTTTAGAAATATCCACCAAATCGAAACCAAATTGAATTTATGCAATCCGGTCTGTGTGATCCTTATCTCTTTACATGCAGATTAGAACTTGCTCATTTACTTATCTTCTCTGAATGCAGGGCCATTTGTTCATACAGTCACACTGAGCTTCACTGCATTTGGAAATGGACCAGCAAGGACACGGGCAGCCTCCATCTAGCTCTGCCGGCCAAATGTCTTATGCTCCAAACCCATACAACCCGAACCAAATCCCGGTTTCTCAAACCACTGGCCAATTAGCTACTTCCACAGCTCAACCCTCAGGCTCTCAGCTCGCTCAACATCAAATGGCCTACCAGCAAATCTACCACCAACAGCAGCTACAGCTCCAACAACAACTCCAGTCCTTCTGGTCGAACCAGTACCAAGAGATCGAAAAAGTCACCGACTTCAAAAACCACAGCCTTCCCTTAGCAAGAATTAAAAAAATCATGAAAGCCGATGAGGACGTGAGGATGATCTCTGCCGAGGCTCCAGTAGTCTTCGCTAGAGCATGCGAGATGTTCATACTCGAGCTCACCTTGCGAGCGTGGAACCACACAGAGGAGAACAAGAGAAGGACGCTACAGAAGAACGACATAGCTGCAGCAATCACGAGGACTGATATTTTCGATTTCTTGGTCGATATTGTTCCTAGAGAGGATTTGAAAGACGAGGTTCTTAGTTCAATCCCCCGAGGGACAGTGCCTGTTGGTGGCCCTGGCGACGGGATGCCTTACTGGGCACAACATCAAGTTGGTGCTCCCGGGATGATTATGGGGAAGCCGATGATGGATCCTTCAGCGATGTATGCTCAGCAAGGGATTCCATATATGGGGCAGCCCATGTGGCCACAGCAGCAGCAGCAAGGGTTCGACCAGCAGCACCAGCATGAATCGTCTTCTGATCAGCAGTAACTATGCATGCCATGGAAGCTAATAAGTGTAAGTTTCTTAATTTGACCAACCAATATGATTGTCTGTATAGAGGCTGCCATGCCATGGATCATCCGAATCGAATCTCATTGTGTTCTTTCTCCTGTCATGTTTCAGCATCAATTGCTAATCGTTGTGTATTATAGCAATGTTATGATAGAAGAGCGGTGTAGCAAGGAACCAGTAGGAGCAGGTGAGAACAAATCTTCAAGAGAAGTCTGGTGAATGATCGTCGTTTCTGGAAGAAGAAGAACAAACAGTAGTGGGATGTTTAGTTGCAGGTGTGTAACAGTGTAAATATAGTATTGCTAGTACTTGGAGGAATATCTCTTAGTAGTCGCCTGAACCAGCTATGTCCTGCACTCCTGCTTCACTCGACTTGGTTGCTTTAGTTTCTTGCTTCTTTCGAATCATGTGTAATACAACTACTATATGTCCTCTACAACTTGCCTATCAGATTTCATGTTAGTTGTTGAACCACCTCTGACAGTCATGCGGCCTGCCCAACTCATTTTCCAGATACTTGTTGCTGGCCATTTTCAATACCAAATTTAGGATCACTGCTTAATTTTCCTATTCTCTCCTATTTGGCCCCTGCTGCTGAAGCATGAACAGTCTCTTACGGACCTTGGACATGTTCCAGCTGTGAAGCAAGCAGAGGCGCTTCAGTCTCATGAAAAATGCAAGAATTTTGGTAAACCCTTATGGGAAATGAACTCATTAAGCAGCTGATTGTTCAGTTGTTCCTGTTAGCCTATTCTGATTCTCTAGGAAGGCAACTAAATATCTTGCATCTGCAGTCTTAGGTGCTACTAAATATCTAGGAAGGCAAATTTCACAAGAACTACTTATACTTGCCTATTCTCTCCAATTGGTCCTTATTTGGTCCTTCGCGATTTCATGAAAGATCGAGAATGGATATATATGAAAAGGAAAGACAATGACTTTTTGGTGGGAAGCTCATTACTAGAAAACATTTCACTTCCAGTGACAAAATTCCTTTTGTATGTGGGGATGGCTTCTGACATATTGTTCCTGGGGCTTGAAGGGTTTTTATGGCACAGCTAGCTATACTGACAGAGAAAGGTGGAAACTTTTTTGCCTAGAGAGTGAAAGCCAACCAACCTTCTTAATGGTGTGAACTAGTGAAACCACTGAAACTACTTAATCTGGTGTGTTCTATGTGTTTTCAGCAAGCAAACTCTTGAAATATCTAAATTTTGGTTCTGTCAAACAAAGAAAGAATGAAAAACAGATTTATTGACAGAGGAAACTCCGGAGGCTGTTCAATCCATGGCAGGAAGCATAACAAGTGTGTGATTTTTCCTGTGGAAGTGAATGTGGTTGCTGAAGCTATTGACAGAATAAACATGACTTGGTACGAGTCAGTTTCTGTGTTTCTGGTTTTTGAATCTGTTTGAATTCCGTAGAGCTATTATGAGAGTTGTGTATCACTAACTTCAGATTGATTTTTTCGATTGCAGGATTGTTAGGGCGAAGGTAGCGGAAACTGATTTGATCATTCAAGTTGGAGACTCCAACTTCCATGTTCACAAGGTAAGGCAATTTTATATCAATCATGAGGTCCAAGAACAAATAATGAGTACTTTTCTCTGTTTCTCAGCTTGCTATGGTGTCCAGAAGTGCATATTTGAACAGAGTAGTGTTCCAGGAAAGAAACAACAATCTGCAAAATTCCATCCCCACCATCCTTTTACACAGTCTCCCCGGTGGGGCTGAAACTTTCGAGCTCATACTGAAGTTCTGCTATGGATGGAAGATCGATCTAACCCCAACCAACATCGCACCCATCTACTCTGCTGCAAATTTCCTGGAAATGAACAATGAGATGGAACAAGGCAACCTGATCACCAAGACCGAAACCTTCCTAACTTACTTGCTGCTATTATCTTCATCGTGGGAAGACATCTTCACCATCTTCAAAAGCTACGAAGAAACCGTTTCCTCTTTGGCCAAAGAGCTTCATATCCTCAGATCTGGAATAGAAAATCTGATCATAAGGTTACCTCCTGAGCAAGAAAGCTCCCTTCCTTGCAACTTCTTGCTTCACCTTCTCAAGTTTGGGAACTCCGTGAGGGCAGATTGTGAGTTATTGGCTGGGGTAGAAGAAAGAGTTGCTGATAAGCTGGAGGTCTGTAGGGTTTCAGATCTCTTGGTTCAGAATTCTACCAATAGAAGTACTACTCTCTATGATGTGGGAATTGTGGCAAAAGTTTTGGAGACGTATGTTTCTTGTGCGAAAAGAAATCCAGCAGCGACATTGCTTGTTGTTGGGAGGCTGATTGATGAGTATCTGACAGTTGTTTCTAGAGACAGTAGACTTCCTGTGAAGAGCTTCCTTTCAGTGGCAGAAGCCTTGCCAGATTCCGCGAGGATTTGCCACGATAACCTCTACCGAGCCATTGACTTCTACCTCAAGGTAACAGAAAACAAACTAACCCCTTCTTCATACCTTGCAAGAGAACCAGCTGATGATTGCAGGAAAGCTACGCGCTGTGGAGCAATTCTTGCATTCGACTATATACCATTCGGTTTTACATAATAATAAAAACTCGATTGTTTACAATTGCGTATTGCAGGTACATCCTAAGCTGTCAGAGGAAGAAAGAACAGGTATATGCAGGGCCATGGACTACCACAAGCTGTCGCAGGAAGCTCAGAAGCACGCGATAAAGAATGATAGGTTGCCATTGCATCAGACGGCGATGATCATTATGGCTGAGCAAGTGAAGATGACAAGGTCGATAACTTGTGGAGGAAGTAGTTACCAGCATAGGGCAAAGAGCCAAGCCAGTTTGAAGATTGGCAACTGCAACATGGAGAAAGGATGGCTATATTCGCCACGAAATGAGATCAGGATGATGAAGAAGGAAGTCGAAGCTATGAAAGGGCAAATAAATGAGTTGCAGGTTTGTAGGTTGAAGATGCAGCAGCAGTTGAAGAGATGCCATATATAAAATGGTTCACAACATGAGAGACAGCTATATGAAACGAAATTTGAACATTATTACAAGTCAATATGATGCCCTATACTTGCAAAACCGTGTAAAATCTATCATATCAATATGTAACCAATAAATGCTTCAACGGATCCAATCCGCCGATACTGCAAGATAGGAGAAGATGGAGATTTTCAATCAAAAGGCTAAATGGTATTTGATGAGAAACAAGTGATTCATAGTTATGTATGCTGTTATTTGAGCCCCTGAATCATAAATTTCAACGATTAAATTCCATGAATTATTCCTTTCTTACATTAGGGTGCCTTTGGACTCATTTTCTAGTAGTCTCTCAGGTTTTAGTTTGTTTAGACCAAAAATTTTGTTTTCTAAATTGAACATGGACTAATACTTTTTTCCCAAGAGGTATTCATTTTCACGAGATTTCATTAGATCTATAAAATTGCTATAAAGACCGAATCCAAGCACATAAATTGAAAGTTGAAACTGACACACCCCATCAGAAAGAGGTTGAGGGAAGACTGTAGTTAATATTTCGTCTAAAATGGAGAAAAAAATACACACGATAAAATAGCTTTTGTTGACTTTTTAATTAACCGTGATGTAATCTTATATTTAAAACTTTTTTGTAAATTAAAATACATTAGCAGATAAAACTATCAAGAATATCACTATTTGTGTACCAAATAATTATTTTTATTACGTAGCCTTGCACTTTCGAGTGATGTTTTTTGTCAAGAACCATTTAGTATCAATAACTCGAATAATTGATAGAGGTTTAATAATAAATCTTATATCAAACAATTATTCATGATTTAGTTAGTTGTTCACTTTCGAATGATGTTTTTTGTGATCAAGAATCGTTTAGTATCAATAACTCGAGTTGTTGGGAAGAGATTCAATAATATATCTTATACTAGATTTGGGCCCGCCCGTTGGCCGGATGTATAACATCAATAGTATAAACAGATTAGCAAATGCCTAAATATAAGTTTTCTTGCATATCTATCATATCATCATGATATGATGATCCATCTCCTTTGTTTGAATTCAAAATAAAAAAAATTAAAAGCGCATTCATTAAGGTATAAACATTGATATCCATTTTGTTACGTTTTGTCAAGCTTAAGACCACATACCAACATCATATCATTGTTATACCAACATCATATATGTGTCATATCATGTTACCATAGTGATAATATCATGATATGAAAGTGATATGATTTCATCAAATTATTTTGTCAAACATACGACCTCATACCAACATCATATTACTATCTTACCAACATCATATCAATATCACATTACTATTTTATCAACATCACACCACCATGATATCATACCATTGTTAGTGGTAATATCGTGATATCTGATATGACAATGGAATGATAAACTAAATATTTTTTGCTCCAAAAATATCAAAATGGATATCATCTTCTAGAACACAAAAATTCTGATATTTCTATGCAAAAATTTTGAAAATCAATTTAAAATGAAAGAGCTATCGTCCATTGAATTTTCATATGAGATTTGAAAAGTCCATCAACAAACGCCTAGGAATCTGCATCTGTCCATAAAAAATCCAGTAAACTCTCCAAAATTCCTTATTTCCTCTCTACCCCTGATATGGATCATTAGATCTTTTTCTATCAAATTACAACCATTTGATTAGATTTTGTAAAAATACAAAATTTCAGGATTTTGTACTGGATCCTCCACCTTATAATAATATTAATAATAGTACTTTAATTTCTAGTTAAGAAAAATTCTTCTAGTAAATTGTTTCCAATACGTTGTTTCTTTCTCTTTTTTAATAAAAAATATATAAAAATAAGGTTGCTTCTACGGTGTCCCGTGTAAAATACGGGATATCACATACCTTGAGTATGAAAACACAATATAGACATCGAATTGCCATGATTTTTGTGTCTGATACTATATCCTAACCCTAAATGAGTAAACCCTAGGTCCTAAATATCTTAATCATAAACTACAAACCCTAAGATATTGGATTCATTTTCCCCTATATTTGGACGAATCATAACCGTCGATTATTATTTCTAATTAAACTGATCTTGGGGTATAAGATATATAGATTAAGACCTAGATTTTGATTTTTAGTATCACGTCCGAAAGATCAGTCAATCTAGGGTCTGAATAGTATTTTCATACTCAAGGTATGCGGTACCCCAAATTTCACTCTGGGTACCATAGAATTCACCATAAAATCAATTTTCAGTGGGAAGATAGTTAATATCGATGTCCATACAATCAGAAAGCTTATGTTGTGTTTTAGATTAAGACTGATAAACATCAACTACAACTTATGTGATATAAAAATGACTCTTTTTCTCCTAAATCACACGTAACATAGACATAGATAATATTGTAAAATGTATATACTTATGCTAATAAAGATTGCTTTACTTAAATACAAGTTTTGGAGATAAAATTGAAGCTATATTTTGCTTTTCGAATGATTCTCCACATGGTATATTTCTTTAAGGTATAGAATTGTCTGGAATTGCTAATAACTATTATGAAAAATAATATGCACAACCTTGAATATAATTATGCTTGGATTTCGATAGAAAACTCCTAGCTGCAAACCATGCAAAATTGTGAATTGCATCATTGTATCGCCATGCCATAATAAGATTTTACGACCGGATTTTACAATGGTTTACATGCCGAAATTTTGTAACCTATCCGTCTATTTAATTATATGGGAGGGGTTATGGTGGATACTTAGTCTTAGTAGTCACGATGGTTACTAGGGATAAGAAGGGTATTTTGCATCCTTCCTAATATCAACTACCATTTCAATTAATTAAGAAAATAGGAGAGATAATTACGGAAACTATTATATGGAGTTTTAATCACAGTAGTGGTTTGTTATACCAAGATTTACCGCAGGAAATAATTTCGCAGTGGGAACAAAGCCTTAGGGAGGAAATGGCGATCGTCGACGGTGCACCATCGCCTGATGTGGAAGACGAGAGAAGGATAGCAATGGAGTTGTTGTTCGGAGAAAGTCCGACGTCGGATAGAGAGGAGATCGAAACGGCAATGCAAAGCAACGGTGGTAAGCATCTAACCCCTAGTATAACTTATTCCTAATTATATGATTTCGCTTGAATGGTAAAATCTTAAGACTGTTTTTTGTTGGCAACCTCTTGGAAAGGGTCAGATATCGACGAAGATCAGACCGGTGACGTAGGTGTTGGAGGGGACAATTCTGACGGAGGTGGGAATGGAAGTTACTGTATTGGTATTTGTTGGAATATTATTGGTTGTTCGATCAGCATTGGTATTGGTATTTCCTATATTGGACTGGTATTATGGCTTACTTTGTCGTTTCACATTGGTAGTGGTTCGATTAGTATTTGTAGTACGTGTGTGCATTTAAAAATGTATTTGAATATTGATGGTGGTGGTATGGTTGGGTGTCGCATTGGATTGGTATTCATGTACGTTATGTCCATTACTGGATTGTATTGGTTTCCTATTGGTTGCTATGGTAGTAATTAGTTATTGCAATGGTAGTTACCGCAATGGTAGTTATGAGATACTGTAATGGTAGTGATTTGTTAGTGGTAATATGAGCTAGTGCAATGGTAGTTATTCGTTTTTTATATACAATTTGCAGATCAAGTGTATAAAGTTGTACCAGATGACAAATCGACATGGCAACATTTGAGATTTAACAATCGGGAAGCATTTGTCAAGTTCTACAAGGACTTCGCACACTGGAGGGGGTTTGGAGTACGATGTATTGGACAACAGACTCAAAAGCTAAAATATCTTAAAGAACGGAAGGTGTTATACTTTGGAGCACGGTGCAACAAAGAAGGGTTCAAAAAACGGCCAGCAAGCTGGATCCAAAGAATGCAGGTGTTGTGGTAGACACGGAGCCTAATAAGAAGAGGAAGCTTTCTCAGGTCCGGTGTTGTAAAGGACAATCTCTTTACCATGAAGATCTACTGGATCAGTTGCAATTCTAACACCTCTGGGTACTTGGTTACAGAGATCGCTCTTGTATGTCCTATTAAAACTAATAAATTTGTAACACGAAAGGGCGCCAAATACGAAAATAAAATCGTAAAAGAAGGTACCAATGTATAAGACAACCACTACCAAAAGAACACCTTTACAACTTAAACAAAGCAAACCAAAGAGTTTAACAGGAAATAGCGGAGTAGTTTACATGGCAAATTTAGAGGTTTAGTTACATACTGCTAAGAGTCATAAGAGAGACAAATTTGAAAAAGTGCAAAAGAGAATAACTTAGTAGGTTGGACAACTTGTGCGGGAATTGTCTGTGAGCAGGAAAGACAAAAGTACACCTAGATGCTTCGCACATATTTCACTCATCATTGCTTTCAGAAGCAACGTCCTTTAATGGAACTAGGATTTTAAAAGATGAACCACCGATGTCACCTGCATGAATGTCAAAAAATGAGCATAATAGAGTTAGGTGGTTGAACACATTGTTAACTACCTAAGCATAATCCAAAAAGTACCAAAGCAAAGGAAAAACTACGAAAGCAGATGCAAGGTGACTACTAATGAAAATGAAGAACACTACCAAAGCACAATGCAAACACTACCAAAGCGGATGAACAATAGGTAGCAAAACAAATCATCTACCAATACAAACACTGTAGCATTACGGACCAATTGCAGAAGTAAGATATATGCATTATAATGCAAACAACACGAACAGAAATGCACAAAGTATTACCTGGAGGTTTTTTCAAAACCAGCATCCTTGTTCACAGGGGCAAGAACCAGCATCCGATATACCATTCTCGACGATTGATATAATTGTTGCGGGGCTGCACTTCTTGCCAGGTGATTTAGAATTTCCATTAACCCTCTCTGGAACAGCTTCAGCAGCGGCAGAGGTTTGACCACCTCCAACTTGAACCTGGCGACTTGTGTAGCTCATAGGTTCCTTCTTTCTTAAGGCTCCACTGGTAGGTTTCTTGCTCTTTGAAACCCCACGATTGGGATTCTTGGTTCTTGCCATTCCTAAAACCAAAAAATTGAAGGTAGTAACATTAACCAATACCATTGTAGAATGGACTAACCAATACCAATGCATGTAAATGTAACGACTACCGTTACATAGAACACCGAACTACCACGGGACTGTACACTACCATTCCACACCAAACATCAAAGGTATGCAGATCACTACCAATGCATGAAAAGATCCTACCATTCCAAACAACCTAAAAGCTTCCATTCCAACTAAACACTACCACTCCACACCTAAACATCACAGGTATGCAGTTCATTGCTAATGCATGAAAAGAACCTACAATTCCAAGCAACTTAAAAGCTAGATCACTACCAAAATTGATCACTACCATTACAAACAACCTAATTGTATTCAATACAAATGACTAATAATATACCAATCCACGCCAAACAAACGATCAAAATCGCACATATACAAAAACGAAAAGAATATCATTCCACAGAAAACCAAATCTCATATTAATACAATTCGAAGAACATGCAATCTCTATACCATAAAGCGCGCTATTACAACAAGTTTAAATTTGACGATTAGGGTTCTAAGGGGGACCAACCTCCGACCAGTTGTTCATCGCCGCGATGTGCTGACGACGGAAAGGGATGCATTGATCGTCCCCAAGCTCCGACGGAAACGAGGACACCAGAGGAGCTAAAATGAACTTCGTCGGTGCACCATCGGAGTGGGAGGAACTTGAAACAAAAGGGAACCACCGAGAACCCTCGTCGATCCACCAACAAAGAAACAACCAGTCGTCGAACAGAAAGGAATGATTGCGTCTGAGACCAAAAAGAAAACGTCTCTCGCTGCGTCGCGGAGAGACCGAAAAAGATGGAAGAGAACTTGCAGCTTCGGAGAGGGACTGCGGCGACGGGAATAATAAAGGGCTCCGCCGAAAAAGCTTCTGCAGAAGGGAAAAGGGTTTTGGGAAAGGCACTAATAAGGAGAAAAAATAAAGAAGGAGAAGCGTGAAATGAGGAAAATCCCCTCTGATATCGGGTCAATAATGTGGATCCCTTCCGGAAACACCCTTCAGCAACTAGGGCCCTCAAATTGGATTCGGATAATCTCTATGGTAAATAAAGAGGTAGCCACAGTGGTTACTTTAAAAAAATGTAACCAGGGTAATGCGTTCCTTAATTATATATATTGTCACAGTTAGAATAACTATCCAGCCCTAGTAATACTAATGGTTATGATTATCATCCGTGCAACTTCCATGTAAAGCCACTCGCCCTTCTTAATTTACCTTCACTTCAAGTTGTCTCTCTCAGCGGTTCAATACATGTGCTTTGTTTTTTACTTTTTTGAGCTTTGTTCATCTCTTCATTAATTAATAATTGATGGTGGCAACACCAATTCAATTCAGGTGGATAATAAGCCTCACAAATAACCTAGAAGCCACCGTCTCCTACTTTAGTTAATTGGGAAAATACCAAGGCATTCTTCATTGTTATGCGCAGAGGGCAGGAAAAAGGGAATGAAGTGGGATTCTGGGGAGAACCTCCATATATTAATTGGAGGACAATTTACTAACACACCGCTCATAACACGTATGAAAGTCAACTTATATGGAATTGAAGTTTGCATAAATATGACTATTGTACTTAACAAGCGAGGTCGTCAAGATTCAAACACAAGACCTCTCGATCAACTATTCTCAATTAGATGCGTCTTAATGTTTCGATATCAAGTAACTGGTGTACCTAATTTAATTATTTTTCTCCCGAACCAAGAATCCACCCTATTACACTCTAACATTCCTCCTGATTGTGGGCTTTCATCGCTACACTATGGATTACCCTATTGTGCTACCGCATAACAAAACAAACACCAATGTTTGGTGAAGAAACAAACAAGTGCTTAACCTTCAAGGAATGAATTCTCTTATATCCAATCCTCCCTCAGTCTTGTTCAAACATAGTTGTCCCCAAAATAATTATTTATGGATCATATTAATCTTTTGTCCATGTGCAACCGACAACCCCTCCTCTTAAATATGTGAAAGGGATAGAAAATAGGCAATAATTGGTCAAATTAAAGTAGCAGTTGTTGCTGGGGAATTGTCCATTTGTGTTTAGTTGGCTTACTGGTTCACTGTCCAACTGTCTGTAATTGCATATTTTTCTTTCCAAGTGCCCCACAAATTTGACCAGCCTCATCCAGTGGCACTGGCATGCCAGCTGATAATTTAAGCTAAGTAGCTAACACATGTTTAGTGTTTTATAGTCATTAGGACACTTTGTTTCCGAAACTAATTAGTCATTACCCCTTTTTCATATGGATAGCACACCTATAATGATTGTAGAGTATAGAAGTGGGGAAAAGATAAATGGAGAACTAACGAGATTTAAATTGATCACTTCAAAATCATCCTTTTACTTATAATATTAACAAATCAATAATTTGGTTGACTAATATGTCAAAATAAGTACTTCAAATATAAATTGTGGTGATTCTGTATCATTCATACTTTTTATGTGCCAAGTAGTTCTTTGTTCCTGACAAAATTAGTAGCGCCTTTGTTCAACGAATGAATGTGATACTAACCATTAAAAAAAGCCCAAATACACTTGTGTAGTCAAAACTATAACGGTCGTGCCAAATATAACCACCTTTGGCGAAATACCAAAAATAGCCACTTTCGTCCAATTGTTTGACGGTGTTAGTTAACATACTGACTGGACTAACGGATCGTCCGATCTGACGATTTTTGTCCCGTATATATTTTCCACGTGAATTGTAATTAAATAAATTAAATAGTAAAAATAATAATAATTAACTATTTTTTCTTTTCTCTCTCTCCATCTCTCTTTCTTCCTCATCCCTACCCCCAACCAAATCTCGGTTCCCCAAATGATCTCCTTCTTTCCCCTTCCCGTCCCCAAACCAAGTCTCTGACAATTCAAAGAAAGCCCGTCAACCACCCTTCTCGTTCCCCAAATCATCATCCTCTTCCTTCCCCTTCAAATCGAAACCCGCCAGACCACCCTCACCTTCGCATCATCTTCTCCAACCAGTTAACTCCCCCGAATCGATCCTCCCCTGCTACGATGCTCGCCATCGTCTCCCACTATCGTCCACCATCGATCCGCCCCTATGCCATCGCACCCAGATCTTCGTCGTCGTTGCAGTATCATCATCGTCGTTGTCTCGGGTCCCGTCAATCTGTCTTCGTCTTCATCTTCGAGGGAGGAGAAAAGAAGGAGAAGAAGGGATGGATATGGCCGTCATCTTCCATCGCGCGATCTCTCCCTCCAGAACCGCCGATTTGAGCTAGAAGAGAACAATCTATTCTGGGTTTTGATCACGGACAAGATGAAGCAAAGAGGATGGCGTCAGAGGTGAAGATAAACAATTCCCAAATTGGAGGTTTTCGGCTGCTAAACCCACTGGTCAATGACATTGATTTGGGGACAGCTCCCCTGAGTTTCAAACATGAGGAAGAACAGAGCAGATCTGCTGATTTGGGGGCCTGGGTAGCAGTTTGAAAACGATAGGGTTAGGGGGGAAATCCATGCTTTTGGATAGTGGGTGTTGGATTCTTGCTTCTCTTTCCTCTGCGTTTTTGCAGGGAGATGACGACGGGAGGAGTTGCGGCATGGATTGTTTTTGGCGTCGGAGTGCCGCTCGCCATCGGCGTCGAGTTCGCCATCTCCGTCTCTGGTGAGAACAAAACAGAGGGAGAAGGAGAAGTGAGCGTCGAGTGGTGGGAGAGGACGACAGCATTGTGTGGTGGGAGATGATAGAGTATGATAAAATAATTTTTAAATTTTAATTTATTTTTAATTTAAAATATGACATGGCATCCTTGTGGCAAGTGTTGTTGAGTTGTCGATGATGTGTCTGGTGAGTTGGCATTCAAGTAAGCGTTTCGTAATTTGACTAACGGTGTCACTAATGCCATTAAAGTATGTAACGGAAATGACTATCTTTGTCACAAAACTTTCAAAATTCTTGCTATTTTGGTATTTCTCCAAAAGTGGCTATTATTGTCACAAATGTGAAAGTTTTGGCTACAGAGATGAATTTCGCCAAAAAAAAAATTAATGTGATGCTTGTATTGACTTCCGTATCATAACATGCATCTAGGAATGAAAACCGGCAGCGGGTATCTTAATACTCATATTAGTTCAATGGCAAGTCGGGTTTGGTGCGAGTCGGGCAGGAACATAATAAATCTTCGTTATTTTCATTAGAAGACCAAGAAACAAACCATAATGTGATAAATGTAGTTAAATTATTGGAGAAATTGAGGTTTTCACTTATTTAAAATTTTATGATAGCTAAATATAAGGTATTACAAGAAAAATGACTAAGATGACATGAAATTTAGACAAAAAGGATCGAGAATGGGACGGATCATGACAGACTAGGTCGATGAGAGTACATATACCCGCTCCAAAACAAATCAAACGGGTCAAGTAAAACGGGTTAGGTCAAAATTATTATCTAGCTTGCATTCATATTAAATTCAAACTCTGGACATCATATCACAAGTTCTTTTGATGATGACTCCCCACAAATTATCAAGGTATGTATTTTTTATTATAACATTCCTAACAAATTATCTCACAAGAATTCATATAATATGTAAAGATATTCTTTGTTGTAACTTGAGCTCCATACCCATAAATGCAAAAAAGAGAAATGAGTGGTTTTATAAAATATGTACATTAATAAAATTCCAAATTGGGAAGAAGATGACACTTGGTTTGTTATTTGACAAGCCGACTCGTTAGTAAACGAGCCAAGTTTGAGATAGACCATACTCAACTTGATAAGCTCGTGATCTAGGTTGACTCGGTGGCTTGTTGAGCTAAGCTTGCCAGCTGGCTTGTTTAGAGGTCGTGGAATGATTAATTACTCTTCTCAACATGAACATTATCTTGTTAATAAGGATGTGCATGGAAGTTAGTTGTTATTTTTAGTTTCTAGTGTTCTTTTTATCATTTAAATTCTTATGTGTACACACTTTTCAACAAGAATTATTTCAAATCGAGCTCATCTTGAGCTGAGCTTGTACTCAATTTGACAAGCTGTTTTAATGAGCATTTACCGAGTTGAGCTCGTGCGGAATTGTTTTTAATCGACCTGAGCTTGAGCTGGATTATCAAAATTCGAATTTGATCCGAACTCGAGCTGAAACATTTATAAACGAACCGAGTTCAAACTAAGAAAAAATTTGACTTGACTTGGATAATTTGCCGCAGACGATCAATCTTTTCTTTCAGTTCTTACCTCCGAGCCTCCAACCTTCTATTTCTTAAGACAAGTTCCTAAACCGGTGGGTGACTTGGAACTTGGAAGCATTAAGGCAACGTTTTTAACTTTTAAGTAAGGATGGCAATTTTGCCCATACCATGGGTTTTTTACTATCCAACTCAATTGGGTTGGGTATGAAATCCAAATAGATGGATATGGGTAGACTTTAATGGGTTTGTACCCATAGCCATTTACTTGGGTTGGGTTGGGTTTATAACAAATGGATTTGGGTTTGCATCCATGCCCAAATACAAATTACAGTTTGGTACCTAAACTTAATAGATATGTATATTTAGTACCTAAAATCAATTTTTTTCATATAAGTCCTCAAAATATCGATGAAAAATTATATTTTTTTGGTACCTAAAAATTTTTGGTCTTACATTTTAGTACCTAAACTTTTCAAGTTTTACAAATAGGTCCAATTTTTGCATGTGTAGTTAAAACACCCTCAAATAAATGGATATCCATATCCAACCCATACCCATTTAGATTATGAAAGCAATAGTCATACCTTACCCAAACCCATTTACAAACCCCCTAACTCATATGCACTTCACCCATACCCAACCTATTATGAATGGATCTACTTGGATTTGGGTATAATTACCCATGGGTGGGTAATTGACATCCCTACTTTTAAGTGACCAATATTAACGAAACTAATAAAGTAGATTGCTTCCAAGACAACGTTTTTAACTTTTAAGTGACCAATATTGACGAAACTAATAAATTAGATGACTTCACGAGCTTTTTGACTCGTTTTCTCTGAATTGCTATTTGTCGTCCTAAAATTCAAATTTTGTGGCCCTAAAACCCACCAAATTAACATATTTACCCTCAACCCAATTTCTATCCACCCAAACAATCCCCTGACCCTTCCCCCACCCAAGTCCGCCGCCAGCAACCACTCCCTCCCCCACCCTCATCGACCGCCCACCCAAATCACCTCCAACCCCAGACCCCAGTCTTTCCCGCCAACCAAATTCCCTCCACCACCCAAATACGGCGCCCACCCTAATCTCGTCGTTGTCATCGATCAGAGGGAGGAAGAAGAAGGGAGACGAAGCGGACAAGGGAGGAAGAAGAATACAAAGCGGACGAGGATACTACTTGTCTCCTACCGCCGTTGCTAATCGACCGGTGTCCCTGCCAGAAAGAAGACGACGACCAATGCCACAAGGATGATTTTTTATTTTTTATTTTGTTGTCGCGGCGGACGTACGTGTCCCGTATCTTGCCGACGACTTTTCAACCCGTCCGCCGACAAGTCCAATTGTTTTTAAAAAAAATTTGCCATTGGAATTATTAATTAATCTTATCTTAAATCTTAAATCTTAAAATATATTAAAGAGGTTTTAGAAATACACCCCATCCACGTCAGCCTCCAAGCCTTCCCCGTGAGTTTCGGAATCCTGCGTTTTGTTTTAGTTTTTTTATATTTCTTGTGAATCGTATGCTGCAACTTTCGTCTTTCATCTTCCTCCAATGCGATGTTCTCCCTGGGGAAAAAAAAAAGACTCCTCAAGTTGTCTCCTTTCCAGCCGCCTATTACTCTAACTGTCTGACTCTCACTCTGGAACCATTCCTCCTACCCCGATTGGGCTGTTTTAGTTTCATGTTAGACCCTTTGGACCCTTTCGATTACCATTCGCCTCATTCATTCGACTTCTCTATGACGGCTAGGTTTTCTCTTCCCGCAACTTCCAACCATCGATTTTCCCCTGCCTTCACCAACAACTCTGGAAAAAAAAAAAGAACTCTGACGATTCCTTTCCTTGCACCACACACTGTTTACGGTCATCGATTTCCATATAGTCGATGTCAATTTAGCGTTCATCAGTCATTGTAGGCTTAAACTCCGCCGCTGCAATTGCTGCTTTCCCACAAACACACCAGTTATCATTTAATACGTCTTGATTTTACCATAG